TGTAGGCAGAGCAGCGGTCCCCAGCCTTTGTGGCCCCAGGGACCGGGGCCCCTGTGAGAACCTAACGCCTGAGGATCTGAGGTGGAGCTGAGGCGGTGATGCTGGTGCCGGGGAGCGGCTGCAGATGCAGATGAAGCTGCTTTGTCGCCCCCCGCCGCTCACCTCCTGCTTGCGGCCCAGGTCCCAACGGGAGATGGACCAGTACCGGCCCGGGGATTGGGGACCCCGGAAGCAGAACACCGGGTACGATTTCCCTTGACAAAGGTCGCCCTGCAGCGTGACCCTGCGGCTGCAGGGAAGGGACTGCTTCGCGAGCCGCTTTGGTAACCCGCTGTGGGAGGGCGAGGTGTTGGGTCGGGGCCGTGGCAGCGAGAAGCTCTGGTGGCGGAACCAGTCCTCTGTTTCGTCTCCTCTGGCTGTGCCTGGGGCCCGGGGGTGCAGTCAGCAGCCTTAGGAAACCCGGAGAAGCAGGTTCAGTGGGACGGGGAGGCTCGGGCTGGGTCCCCGGACTTCGAGGCATCTCTGGTACATCACGGAGAGGTGTGGAGTGGTACTTGGTACAGGCTTCTAGAACACGGCGGGTACAGGCTGCTTTTGTAGACGGGGAGCCGTTGGCATTGAGGTGAGAGATTGCCCAGGGGCAGTGCCTGGACATGTGCCAAGGTGAGAAGCCAGGACGCTCCTGCGTTAGAGCCAGCGAGGCGGGGGAGGGGGCGGAACCAAGAGGAAGGGAAGCGAGTCCAGACGGGGGGAACCGTGGCGATGTGGGGTGCGGCCCAGAGGTCAGGTGAGATGTGAGCGGCCTCCACACGGTCACCAGTGACCTCGGCAACGCTAGGTTCTTCCCTGGGGCGGAGGCAGGACCCGGGCTGCAGTGCTCAGAACAGGGGGGATCTCACGAGAGCGAGGGTTGGGGGGACTCGGGGGGAGCCCACCCACATCCAGGAAGGCTGGTCGCGAAGGTGGAATGTGGACCAGCCATTGGCGGAGCAGCTGCTGGATGCCGGGCACCAAGTGAGGCCCCTTTTCTGAGTCACCCAAATACAACGGAAGGGTGGTGGAGAAGGCAAGAGTGAGGGGACACATGGCCCCGTCCCCTGCGCAGTAGAGCCCCCTGGGGGGCGCCGGGGGGCACAGGACACCTCGTCGCCACACAGCAGAGCTGCCGGCCACGGCAGAGCCCGACTGTGCTCGAATCCCGCCCTAGTCCGCACCTGTGAGGTGGAACTGTGGGGAGCGGGTGGGTTACAGGCGGGTGGCTCGGACCACCTGGCCCGTCCTCAGATGCCCGCAGCGGAGGGGAGAGCAGGGCGCCCGCCACGTGCTTCCAGGCGTCGTTCCAGGCGGCGCGGGGCTGGCTCTCCGGGGTGGCGGAGCGTTACTCTTCCTCCTCTAATGCGAATGAGTGGAGAAAAAGTAGCAGGAAACGGGCATTATGCCAGGACCTAATGAGGTCTTATTTGGGGGCCGAGAGTATTATTTTCACCACTAATTAAAGAATGCCCTTTGTCATCTATCCAATAGAAAATTTTAAATTCGTGGAGCAAATAAGCACATAACTTTTCTCGTTGCTCATGTTCTCAAATAAACTCTTATTGAAGAATGGAAATACATGTATGAATGTACACTTAAGGGCCCAGCTTTAAAAACGGTCTCAAAGTCACCACCCCCTTCCCGCCGGGGAAGAAGGGCCCTTCCCCGCCCTCTCCCAGGCACTGGCGATGCGCTCACTTGGTTTCGAAGTTTGTACATTGTAATTTCAGATGCAATTGAAGGAGCTAATTAAAAGGTATCTGTTATCTATGATCCAAATAAAATTTCAAAATTGTGGAGGAAGTGACTTTTAAAACAACATCGAGCATGAGTATCGAACTATCAGGAGATTAATGAACTTGTCTGGGAAAAGAGTACACATTTTCAGCATTATGCCGATGGCACCGTTGCAGACTTAGGCATACCCTGTGTGGCAGCTTTATAGGAAAGTACGTCACCAAAGCTGAGAAACATTGCATCTCAGTGGTAAAGGTTTCTTGTTCTTTTAAGTGACCTCAAGTGCTGGTCTGTGTGTTTTATCCAGTCGTGTATTTATATAAAATGTAATGTATTCATTTGTTGCATGATCAAATGTAGACAAAACTCAGTGGTTATAAAGGCCAGCCGGTATGATCCGGGGCGATGATTCATGTTCTAAATCTTCTGACGTTTAAATGTTTTAGCTTCACGCCCAGCGCATGGTCATAGTTAGGGGAGAACCATGTTCTCTCTCTGGCTGTCATTGCGTTTCCTTTGATCTGTTCTCGGGGAGAGGCTCACCCCCTCGGGCGGACCAGCCTTGCTCTCCTGTCTGGGGGCTCTCGTGAATTCATCCTGGCTTGTGCGAGGTCACTTGTGTGATGGTCCCTGGCACTGTCTTAGGTGGCAGTGGTTCATTCAGCTTCGGCACCCCCAAACCGTCGATCTAGAGAAGGCTCAAAGGGGACGCACAGAAAAGCCAGCCCCGTTGCCGCCGAGACATACAGCAGGTGGCGCAGCAGTGGTTAGCAGCTAGCGGCTCGTCGGGACCCGGCACGTCTGCGTCCTCAGCGTGGAGGGGACCGTGGCCAGCTGTCCTTCCGTCGCTTCGTCTGGTTTTTCTTGTTTTTCTTGCTCGTCGTCTTCTCAGATGCTTTCAGCACGTCTGCGTCCTCAGCATGGAGGGGACCGTGGCCAGCTGTCATTCTGGCAAAACCGTCGCTTCGTCTCGTTTTTCTTGCTCGTCGTCTTCGTTTTTCACTCAGATGCTTTCGTTATCCTTTACTGAGTCCCCCCCTCCCACACACACACACACTTCCGTGGGTTCTCCTGCGGCTCTCAAGCTCTGTAGTTTAGAACGATGTATTTCTGAGTCATCGTCTTGCTTCCGTTTGCACACGAACATACAAGTTACGGGGAAAGAACAAATGTGAAGCAAGTTTCTAGTAAAGTTTTTTAAAACGCTGCCTTTTCGTAGAAGTCGCGGTATCGATCTTGCGTAATGCAGGTGATAGAACAATGACTCGGACAATGTCAGTGCTCGGCACGTGGGCTCATGCTTTGTGCAGTGTTGTCCATTGTTCAGTGGGAGGCTTTCTTGGAAAAATGTCCTGTTTGCTCGTGAACGTGCTCTTCTTAGCCTCCAACACCGGCGGAACGTTCATGAGCATCCGCGGTTTCGTAAAATGATTGGGATCACATGTTCGATATGCCTTGGAAAGTGTCCCCACTCTCCCCTCCGCGTAGAAAACCGAGGACGTGCCCCCAGAGCTCTCTGAACAGCTTAGCCCCGTTCGAGGCCCACCTTCGTGCTTTTTCGGCGAGCTTTAAGTTCAAAGTCGGTCTGGTCATCCAACTGAAGAGGATCTCTGAGGCTGGCGGTAAGATAGAAATGTGTTACAGTTGGCAATCAAAAAACCCCTTTTGCTCTTTTTCAAAAAAAAAAAAAAATTGGCAATCACCCAAACAATCGTGATTTTCAGTTAACTTCCTTTTGGTGTTTGTAACTTCGGTTGACCCCACACCACACACGTTTTGCAGTTATTGGAGTCTGAGCTTAAATTTTGTTTTTGAGTTCGCGTCATGATTTATAAAATATTCTAATATACGTCTTCAAAGACCCTGGGTCGATACGCCGATGGTTCTGAAATGACAGAGTGCCACGGTGTTCCTCTGTAATTTAAACGTGATTAGCTGATGAAGGTTATGATCAATACGCTACGGGAAGATAAATTAATTGATACCGTCCTTTCAGGATGATGAGGGGCCCGTTGGAGGTGGGATGTAGCTGATGCAGCTGCTGCTTCATCTCTGGGAGCCATTTTTTATATGCTGCATTTCCCTTTAATCATATTTATACTGTCGTTCATTTACGTGAAAGCCGTAAGCTGTGGGCACACCAGTTCTTTATTAAAATTGTATTCATTTGGAAAAGAAATTATCTGTGGACACTGTGTACGCGCCTTCTTTCTGTGTTGGAACCTATTGCTGAGGACAGCGATGTGTCCCTTTGGTGTCTTCACAGATAGCAGCTCTCTGGGCAAAGACAAGAATCGAATATCATTGAGCTTAATTACCGCTAGTCCCCAAAGACACACACGTATTCAAATAAAAGCTCTCATTATTCTCCTGTAGTGGCACCTGTTGGTGTAGGACGAGCTTTCTTTCTAATCGTTGAGTTCCTTTCCAATTAAATCCAGTATGCTTTATCAGCGAGCCCATTTGCCGAGAGGAGTTATGGCTGGTTGAATTTAGATTTGTATTGATTAAGGTAAACTTCCGATGTGTGTAGCAGTATATTTAAATTAAAAAATAAGTTTTTGATATAATTACATGTCCTTGAATATAATTCTTTGCAGTAGCTTGTGAAGTTAAGAGTAATTCTTTAGGCTCTGCCAAAAAAAAAAAGTTTGATTTCCAAAGGGGTTTGTTTGGTTAAATTACCCTGTCTTGGGATTATTTTTGCTGCAAGTAACTGGAAAAACATCATATTATTAGAATAACTTAAACAAAGACAGGTGTGTATTTTCTGTTTCGCATTCTGTGCAGGGCTGTCGAGCTGGAGGCTGGTCCTCCTGGGTGGCGTCCCACCCGGCATGGCTTCCAGCCCCAAGGTGGCTGCAGGGGTACAGCCAACACGCGTGTGTTTTTTAAGCAGCGAGAAGGACGAAGGCATAAGGAAGAAATGGGCCAAGGGCAGCTCTCACGAGGGAGGTTCCTAGACACTGCCGCGTGTCCCCCCGAGCCCCCTGCTGTCACACTGTTGCCAGAGCTTGCCTGCGTGGCCATGCTGGGCCAGGGTGCAGGTGGATGGGGGAGCAGGGGGCTCAGGAGCTGTCGCATCCGTTCCGGTAGCCACGTGCCCAGCTAAAAGTCAGGAATTCCGTCCGTGCGGGGGCGGCGAGTGACAGGGACAGCGGCGGTCCCCGCCCGTTCTCCACGCTCAGGAACCAGCCTCACATCGGTTCTTTTGTCTCCCCACCCACCAGTCGCCCAGAAGGTGGTTGCCACGAGGAAGAAGCAGCAGCTGTCCATCGGACCCTGCAAGTCACTCCCGAACTCCCCGAGCCACTCGTCCGTGTGCTCCGCACAGGTGTCGGCCGTGCACATAAGCCAGGTACGTTGGGCGCCCCGGGTACCAGGCCGAAAGACAGGTCCGAGCCGAGGAGGACCTGCCTGCCCGAAGAGCGCTCCCGGCCGGTTCTAACGTGGGTCTTTTTCTCGTCAACTTCGGAAGTAACAGCATGTTGGTAATTGACTTAGCATCTCCTTCAGCAACTGCTGTGGCCAAGTGGTTTTTATGGGAATCATTCTTTAATGTTTTCCGTCTTCATGCTGCCTGCGTGATGAGGCATGCTGGCTCGGGCGGGGGGCGCACCGCCGGCTTTGCCGTTGACTTAAATTACCTGGCGTCCGTCCGCGTTCTCGTCTGCTTGCAGGTGGACAGTCGTGCGTAGATCTCAGTGGCGAATCTCACTGTGTGCTTAAATTTGGTAGCAGCCCTCAGTTACAATTACCATGTCCCTCAGGCCCTGTGCACACTCGCTTTTTGTAACAGCGTCTTGCTAAATTATTTACTTGGAAGCAAACAAAATAATTGTCACTTTGAAGAACCTAACCAAAAACTCATTAAGGAAACGGTTGGCTTATTTCCCCCATGCTCGTGCTTTAGATGGACATTTCTCGGGCAGGCGTTACGTTGGCACTTTTTAAAAAAAAAAAAAATTATCATTAGTTTCAAGAACGCAGTACATCAGTTAGACACTTACGTAGTTCATAAAAAGGTCCTCGTGATGCTCATTCTCTCCTCCGGCACGGCACCTGGCTGTCGCGTTAACGCTGGCCGCACGCCCTGTGTGTTGGCGCCGTTTTTAAGGGTGCAGCGAGGCTTGGCGCTGTGCCTTCCGGCCGCTCGGGCGGTCAGTCAGCAGCAGTCGCTGACACCAGGGCCCGCCAGGCACGGCCAGGAATGCTCACGCGTCCCCCGTGGGCATCCGCAGTTTTCCGTGAATCCTGGAGTTATCTTCCGAAAGCATTCACGTTCTCGAGGCGTCATTTTCAGAATGCGAGCTGTGGTTCTGCTGGGCAAAGCCGTGCCCTTTACTACATCAAGAAGTCTAGAGCCACGAAAGAACCTCAGAAGCCTCATAGTTCAGCCCACTCCTTCCTTTTCAGGGGAAACAGTAAACAATGATGTTTTAACTCTCAAAATTTTGAAAAATTAGATGTGGGAGACGCATCTCTCCTAAGTCACTGTCCTTGGGCGGAAGGATGGAGAGGATCGGGGTGTCGCAGAGCGAGATGACGGGCGCAGCCGGAAGCCGGCGATGACCCCGCCTCGCTGGGGGCGTTAGCTCCCCGCAGCGCGTCCCTAACGAAACCCCGCTTTGCCATCGTTGCAGACGAGCAACGGAGGCGGCAGCTTGAGCGACTACTCCTCGTCCGTGCCGTCGACCCCGAGCACCAGCCAGAAGGAGCTGCGCATCGACGTGCCGCCCCCCGCCAGCACCCCGACGCCCGTGCGGAAGCAGTCCAAGCGGCGCTCCAACCTCTTCACCGTGAGTGTCCGCCCCCGGGCGCCCGGCTACGCCAGCGAGGTGCGGTCGGTGCCCGTCCGGCCACCAGGTGGCTCCGTGCCGCTTGTAGAATCCAAGCGAAATTAATGAGAACGGGATCCAGTTCTGCGGACGTCAGGAAGTCAGGAGATGCGGAGATTTGGATGTTGAGTAAAACGGGGATTTCTCAGTGTGCAGGGCGTTCTGATCCGTGCGTCCACAATGAAAAGTGAGGGGTCCATCTAAAGATACCTGTTTATCGTCCTGTCGCATTGGGTGCGAGGAGATGACAGAGCTGCCCAGGTGCCCGGGCGTGTCAGCCCTCGGTCACCGCCCTTTCCCCAGCCGAGGGCCCGCCAGCACCGCTGACGGCCGGCGTCCCTGCACAGTCGTCCGCGGCGCATCTGAACGCTGGATGGGCTCTCGGCCCGCGGGCTGTGAGCGGGGAACAGGTGCGCGGGGCCCAGGCACGTGTCGTTTCAGAAGCTCCCCAGGTGGCTGTGGGCAGAGAACCCCTAAGCTTCTGGGGACCCAAGAGTGCTATCTGCCTGTGCCTTCCACACACACAGTGGACGTTACCGGTCACCCGTGGAAGGCCGTGCGGTCGAGCCCAGTGCTGTGGGGCCGGAGCTGCTTGGCTGAGGACATTTTCTCTCCTGGGACTAGGTCACCCACATAGACTTTTAAAAAACAGTGGTTTTGCTCCCCAGAGCACATTTGGAAATTTCTGGAGAAATTTCGTGTTGTCACAGCTGGGGGGAGGGAGTGGGTAAGGTAACGCAGGTGGCCAGGCACAGCGGCAGCCAGGGGCACCGGTGAACACCCCACAGTGCACAGGTGGCCTCCAGCGAGGCCGACCAGCTCCAAGGTCAGCCGTGCCCCGTGTTAAACAAGTCGACCTCGCTTGCGGTTTATCACCGCCGACTGGGACGCAGACAGGTCAAAGGTCTGTGTAGGTCTAGTTTTAAACTAAAGGAGGACTCTGCAGGGCTGGCTGGGGGTCTCTGCCCTGTCGCCCTTACCTGGGGACGGCGACCTTGAGGTGGCCACCGGGGGCCGGAGACCCACCCCTGCCCCGCCGCACGGGACGGTCAGCACCGCCGAGGTCCGTGGCACACGCTGCCTCCTCGCAACTCTCCCCTTTCCTTGGCTGTGTGCCCGGTGCCACGGGAGGGACAGCGAGAACCAGACAGGCTCAGAGCGCGGCCTCCGCGGCCAGCGGCTGGGCGGCCTTGGGCAAGTGACTTGACCTCTCTGAGCCAGACGCGGCTGTCGCTGCGGCGGCCACGGGGACGATTCCCTGGAGGGGCCTCGTCTTTGTGGCATCTGTTTCTCCCCCCGCGCCCCCCGCCACCGACGTCCCGAAGTGATTTCCGACAGCGCAGAGCAGAACCAGCTGCAGAGCTCTGCGGCAGGATGCAGCGGGGATTGAGGCGGGAAAGTAACAGGCCAATGTCTGATGCGCTTAAATTTGCATGTGAACAGGGGGTTTTACTGTGAACTTTCTTCAGACACACCGTGAATCATGGCCGTCACCTAAACAGCACTGCCCAGCCCTTTCCGAGACCTGCTGCATTTCTGTGCTCTGGGTCGGGGACTTTGGGCTGAGGAAGTGTCACCTCACGACCAGGCTGCGCCTCGCTCGTGACTCAGTAGACTTGAGAAACCAGTTTCCAAGGATTGCGGGGCGGGGGGAGGGGGCAGCGTGCAAGCAGGAGTGAGGGCTCTGACCGTACACCAGAGTCTTCTGCATCTTTGCCACTTCCGTTAGGGCACAGTGGCAGGAGGGGACACCCAGGGGCAGGACACCATCCAAGGGCCGCATGTACTGGTTACTGGCTTTGGCTTCTGTTCTAAGGGAAGACGAGAAGCCAGAAAGGATCTTTTAAAGCGGGGTTTTTATAAGAAGGGCACCTGCGTGTCCCCACCCCACGTTTAGGGCCACCCTGGTGTTAAGATGTGACAAGAAGCAGTGTCCCCCACCCTGCCCGTGAGGTAGCTGACGAAGGAGGAGGCTCGAAGGCAGAAAGAATCAAAATGATAACTCGGTAAATAAGTCCTGAGCCCGTGCTGTCTGCAGAGGCTGCTCGCGCTTGGCGTTTGTCAGGAGTGGTTATTGCCAGAGTCAACCCACATTCAGGAGGGGTGGCCTGGAGAGAAAGGGGGGCTCTCCGTGCTCGGGGAAGAATGGAGAGAAGCGGTCTCTTCCCGCATCGGCACCCTGGAGGACGCCAGCTGCCCTGGCCGGTGCGCCAGCTACCGGAGCCGGTAAAAACCCACCCTTATGGTGACCGACAGTCACCGTGAATCATGCCGTGACTGCCGTGTCTGCCGTTACACACGGTGCCGGTGAAGCCGTGTGTCATCAATGTCTGTCCTCTTTAAGTGCTGGAGAGCAGTTTGAGAGTTAACCCTCGTGGAAACTAAATCCAGCTGCATAACTGTTATTAGTGGGAACAGAAATTTCGGGTCCTGGAAGGTGCCACACGGGTTTAAGGAAAAGACAGTTCAAACCCCAGGAAGGACCTGTGTTGTGGTAGGTGACGGGGATGAGGGTGACGGGGATGACGGTGACGGGGATGACGGTGACGGGGATGCGTGGGTATTTTTAAGCTGAAAGTCTTGGGAATACCAGCGCCACTAGATGTCAGTGTCAGCCAAGGAACGGCAATGACAAGACGGCAAATTAATTTCAAAATTGTAGCAATTAAGAGGCTGAGCTCTCACTGTTACCAGTTTGCAGCTATTCTTAAATACGTAAAATTTCGTAGACGCTTCGTACCTGGCGATGGTTGGTAATTGTGGGCTTAAATTGACAAAAAAAAAAAAAGTGTGTTTATGTAAAAGCGTGCAGGAGGACAGATGTGCCACGTGCTGGACAATATTCATGAATAAAAACCCGTGCAGACGGGGAGTATGAGACCCAGATGCGGGACGCTGCCCACCTTATTTATTAGATCGTCGTGCGGGGGCCAGAGTTAATTAAGTAGCACGCACATCATTTTCCAAATACCACACTTATGAATTCTATAAAGTAGACCCGTAATGTACATTTACAGGGATGTTTTACAGCCCCAGATGTTTCTGTTTGCACGTGGATACGTTTTTAAACAAGGGTAAATCACATGCCTTTTTTGCAAAAACAGTGCAAACTTAAAATCTCTCCTGTAGTAGCAAATTATGTGTTACGTTTGTGGTGGGAGTTATACTTAAGTCATCAAAAAGTAAATGACATCTTATTTTGCTTATTTCTTTGACAAAAATCATTGTCTTGAGAAAAGAAATGTTAAAAGGCTATATCCATTCAACCGGTTTTGTAATTTGGGTTCTTAGGACGATTAGTTCAGTAGCCGTCATTTCCATGTGTTTGAGATGCTTTTTTAGGAAAGCGTATTCAGACATACAGAGATGAAAAGCAGATGTGCATAGTCACCGTGCAGCTCATCGAATGCGAGCATTTTGTTGCCGCTGCTGCCAGCAATAAACATAGGTCAGAGGCGCCGCCTCCTGTCCGGCTGTGGCTGCCCAGGTCACGAGCGCCGCCTCAGATCTGGCGTTTCTCTTACCCACATTTTAAACTGACTCTGCGTGTGTCCGTCGTCGTACACCGCTCTGCTTCTCCTCTCGTCAAGTGTCATTTGCACGGTATTTTTAACAGCGCACCGTGTTACGCCGACACCGTTAAACAGAGCCGAGCCTACCCTGTGACCAGAGATTGTGAAGGGACACGCTCCCCAGCTCAGAGAGCCTTGCTGAGAAAACAAGGCATCGACACGGAGAGCGTGGAGAGGACGGTTCGCGTGGTGTTTGTCTTGTGCAGAGGAGGGGAGCGTGGGTCCCACGGCAGCCTCTGACCTGCTCCCTGGTCACGAGGGGAACATCAGGCTTCCATTCCATCGCGAGGGCTCCTGGCAGCGATGCTGCTTGTCCGTGGAGCAGGCAGGGGAGAGGGTCTCCTTTGGTGCTTTCTGTCACCACATGGGAGAAAGTTAAACATTTTTGTGAAGGAGGAGGTGCCAGCGAGACCAGCCGAACCTTCCCTCCCCGCGTTCGGTGTTTGTGGAGGCCGAGCAGCCACTGCCGACCTTTCACGACGGGTGCGACACGCTCTCGTCCGGGTTCTCGGTCTGCGTGTCAGGCGGGGCACATCGCCTTGTCGCCCCTGACACCTGCAGCTGCTGCCACGAGCTGCTTTGTATCCGGCGATGTCGCGGGGCCGTTTCAGCAGAGACACGAGGGTGTGCTCTCGCCGACGTCGGCTCAGAGTCGGCAGAAAAATCGGAGACCTTCCTGGGGAGGTGTATGTGCTGCAGTGTCTTCCGTCCGAAGGCTTCGCTTTGGTTTAGTAGCTGGATTTCAGCTGGATGGGCAGATCCTACAGCCCGTTGTAGGGACGTGATCGTAGGACTAAGTAAGATAGAGCAAACCCTTGTGCCTCACACCTCGTTACTGCTCTCTCAGAATTTCGGGTTTAGGACTCGGACCAAATGGTAGAGTTGTCAGGTGTGAGTCTGGCCGCGTTTCAGTCTCATTCATGTCGAGTGTGCGATCAGACATCGAGTTTGATTCCTCATGGTCTTGCTTCTCCTAGAATCTGGAAATTCTGCTGAGTGGCTGTGGGGACAGATGTGCCGCCTTGAGGAAGATGTTAATTTTTTTTTTTTTATGTTTGCTTTGTTAATTATGCTGGTTAATAGAGAATAATGAAGATGGATTTCCAAATTTAGGAATTTAGAATTCATAAGATGTCAAAGGTACCTTCAGTGATTCTCCATTGATTAAAAAATTTTTTAAATGTTATCACCGTGAGCTTTGAATCTTACATTACAAATAGGAACCTCGAGTTCCAGCTTTCCCATGAATTGAGATGTGGGAAAAGAATTTAGGGTTATTACGTAGCTCTTACTACACATTATTAATTATAGAACTAATGAGAGGGAAGCGGTCCCTAACCCGTAGCTAAAATTCACGACAAGGGATTGATAAGTATCTCCATTTCCCTTCAAGCCCACGGGGATGAACCTTAAGTTTTATAGTCTTCTGCCACTTTCTGTTTGCTGCTTGTTTTATTTCCTGTTACCTTCTTCCACGTCTGTACTATCCTGAAGCAAAAAAGCCCCCAGTGCCCAGCACATAGGGGTTCAGTAAACACCAGCTCTTAGAATTATCGAGGAAGCACGCTTCTCAGGAGCCCGCGGGCCCATCGAAGTGCTGCCTCTGAGTGTAGGCCATGGGAACTTCTCTCCCTGGCGTCCCAGGATATTGCCTCTTTTCATACTGAAAAATAAAATAAAATCCGCTGCTGCGTCTCACGCCCTTTGAAGCTGGATTTCATGAGCTTTTCGCATCAGCCCTGGACACCACGCCGTCTGCTCGTTTCATATATCATCTCAGATTTGAAAAGCACATGAAAATGTTTCTCCATTTTCAATATTGCGTGAGTAATGTTCCCATTGAAAAGTAATGGAGTGAAGTTGTCACTTGTCAGCGCAGTTATTAAGGAGGACGAGACTCAGATCTTTCTCTCATAATAAAATAAATCTGTCAGAAAATCATTGTGCCCTCACTTCCTCATGCCGTCGAGAGATGGAGACGTAGCCGCGGTGTCCCTCCACTGTCCCCAGGGCCCCGTGGCTTTCGGAGGTGGCCTCCCCTGGCCGGCCACCGCCACTTCCTGTAACGTCAGCAGCACGGCCAGGAAAACTGTCTCTGGAGCTTGGCAGAGCAGAGCCAGGTCCTGAGGTTTTGTCAAAAATGATATTCTCAACTGGTTTTTCCCCCCCCCCGTTTGTTATTTTTTGTGTGGTATTGCACAAAAAATAGTCTTAGTCTGCCCCCGACTCTGCTACTCCCTAGCCATCCAGACGCGATCCGAAGAAGCAGTAGCAGCGCCTCGCTACGACTCGAGGGTGTGCCGTTCAGTTGCGCAGCTGAGTCGTCAATAGAATTTCTGGAATCCTTCAGACGTTAATTAAATATATACACTTATGTCGTAGGTTTTCTAAACGATCCCTCTGCTCCTCGCTGGATTCGCCGCAGACCGAGGATGTGTTTTCCTCTTGGGCGTTACTCTCCTAAATGGTTCATTGGTTTCTAGTAATTGAATTTTGGACTCTTTTAAAAAAGAATCAAAAGGTAATTTTGCAGTGGAAAAGTAGGGGGAAAAGTTTAGAGAACCCTCCGTAAGATGACGGGTCCGCGGGGACGAGCAGCTCCGCAGTCTGCTCCCGGGCTGCGCGTGCACGCGCGTGCGCGTCCACACAGACGTTCCCCACGGCTGCCAGGCACCCGTTTGCAGAAGCCGTGCCGCTGAGGGCCTCCCTTCTGCCAGCTGTGAACCGCAGCCCTTACCCGATGCTAACTTTGTTTTCGTTTTGCAGTCTCGGAAAGGGAGCGACCCAGACAAAGAGAAGAAAGGCCTGGAGGGCCGGGCGGACAGCATCGGCAGCGGCCGAGCCATCCCCATTAAACAGGTACGCACGCTGCCGTCCCCTGGCCTCGAGCTGGGGACACACCTCGGCTCCCCGCGCCGTGACGCCGGCCCCCGTGCCAGGGCCGTTTGATGTGCTCTGTTGATGAATGTCGAAGTCACTCACTTGACATCAATTAGAAGAGGTTCCTGTGTGTATTAAAATAGGATCATTAGAATAAGAAGAGGGAAATGCGACAACAGATCTAATGAAGTGCAGTCTGCCCGCCTGCATATGGAGTGTGTTTCGAGGCTGCGCTGGCTTCAAAGGCTGCCTTTGTGGCTCGGCTTTGATTGGGCCGCCGGCCACCAGTCGGCGGGGTAAATCAGGTTTCGCACAAGAGCCCCTTGTGATCACAGGAACGGCCCGATGTGGCCCTAATTTGCTCTCGCAGGCGGACATCTGAACACTGTTTCAGGCTAGTTTGTAACAACGAGGCAATTAGTTGTGATAATCATAGCCGGTGTGTCAGCTGGGCGCTCTTGTTTGTAATTTGCTAATGAAGGAATTGTAACTTTGATTAGGTTCAGTTTCATTTAGACCTTATTATATAAAGGAACATTTACAGCTGTAATGCGGGGCCTTAATTAAACTTCCTCATTACGCGACAGGACTGGATCCCGCGCATTTGTTTTGGCCGAGGTTGCCAGCCTGGAACGGCCCAGAAACCAGATAGCCATTCGCTTTATGTCGCAAGCGAAACGAGAATTCGCGGGACATCTTTCGCCGTTGCATTTCCAAGGAAAATAAAAATGAGGAGTTCAGCCCGGCACGGTGGCTTCTGGAAATGTCATCTTTTAGTTTGTTAAAGGAGGCCAGTCGATGCAGATTGCATTCTGCTTGAGACAGGAAAAAAAAAACCAACCTGCAGGCAGGATAATAGCGCTGCCTCTATGGGCACCGAAGTGGCCGACGTGTCCCTCTGCGTGGTCACTCTTTGCCGTCCTCTGCGGGTACCTAGGTGGTTCAGCGCATCTCGTAGGAACGTGTGCTGGCACTGGCCACCCTTCAACAGGGCTAGAGTCTTTCCATGGGACAGTCGCATCCACCGAAACCACAGGGATGCAGTGGGAGCTGGAGCCCCAGCCAGCGTGGTGTTGGGGGTGGTGTGGGGGGTAGTCAGGTAGGTTAGAAAGACGCGGGGTGTGGGGGGCAGAGCAGGGAGTCCACAGGGTCCCTTTCAGGACCGGTCGAGGTACTGGGCGCCAGCTGTGGACTAGCCTGGGGCACCGTTAAGAAAAATCTTCTGTCCTGTTCGTTGGTTGGTGACGTCTTCAATTTTACAATTTCTTTACTGGAGAATGCAGCACGTAGTTGCTTATTCTGTGCGATTATTTATAAACCCGATTCTCTACGTCAGGTAATTTTAATGTGTGATTTCTATGCCATTGATGCTGTTTCCACTAGAATTATAAAACTCATTTTACTCTCTCCCTCTCATTTAAAAAATTGGTCCTGCGACATTTTCTTTCGGAAATATTAAAACTTAATACCAGACAGTTTCCTTAATTCACATCCCGTGTCGATGAGAGTTGGGTGCTCGATGGGCAGGCCCCGGTGTGATCGGAGCCTCCACCCAGCTTGTGCCCTGCTCCTCTGCAGAAGGGGCTCGCTCTGCAGCCTAGGTTCCGAGCGTGCGTGCGTGCGGGTGGGGTGGCCCTCACGCGCGACATGAGCATTGTTATCCGGCCCTCGGAAGCCTCTCAGTGGTGAAAGCCCAGAATCGTCTCGTCAAGATCTAAATCAGGGTCTGATTTCCTGGTGAATCCAGGCGCAGGAGGCTCACCAGGTCCTTGTCCCTCATGGCCGTCCCTGCACGCGTGTGACCACAGGCGAGCGCCTTCCACACCTGGCGGGTCATCGTGCCCCGAGCCAGGATGTTCCAGGCCTGAGAGTCCGCAGCTGTGAAATGGGGCTGCACGATGTCCGCCCTGGGATGTGGGGAACCCGTGAGGCATTTTTTAATTCCAGCAAATCTGAGTTTTCGGATGAGTCACACGCAGGGCACCTTCGTCAGCTCTTTCTGGGGGTGGCACAGATAGAGTGATCGCACACGCACGTGTGCCACGTTTATAAACGAACCCAGATCCTTAGAGACGGTCCAGATTCTCACCCCTCCCCATGCGGCGACGTCAGCTGTGAACTAAGTGAGAGGCTCGCAGGAGGGAGCCGCATGAGCAGCGCCTGCCCTCGCTGCGGACACGCGACACACCTGTGTGTTGACTAAACGAACAGTAAAACGCGCGCTTAGGCTTTGTTCAGCGCTTTCCACGTCGCGTGCCGCTGAGCCCCGGCATCGCCACGCTGGGGCAGCTGCATTCTCCTCGTTTTAGGCTAAACCCGGGTGGGGCACGCGTTCCAGCCCGGGCAGCCTAGGGGGCCGTGCGGCCGGGATTCGGGCCCGTGCCGTGCCCTCCCCCGCCTTGGCAGGCGACCTTGCGAAAGCTTAGAGGGCGAAGTCGTGTGTTTCAACCTCGTGGCCCTGGCCTCAGACGAAAATGCCTTCAGCTCTGGGGAGGGAACTGGTAAGGCTGTGCCTGCAGCGACACGTCTCTCCAGGGAAAACACCCGCTCGTGTGCCCTCGTGGGGCGGGGGCCTTTCACCCGCCAGGATTCTGTTTGCCGCACACGTTCCCTGTCCTCGTCACCAGCAGCAGGGCACTTTGCCTTGTTGCTCAGCCCGTGGTCAAGACCTGGTCTGTGTGCTGGGGCCCCCCGCACCCCGCTTCCCGGGCCCTCGGCGACCTTCGAGGGACTGGCAGGGTGATGGTTTGGGGGCCTGGGCAGTACTTGGGGTCACCGCAGAGTCCCTTTGTCTCCTGCTCACATGGATCTTGGAACGGATGGTGCGGGGCACGGGCGAGGCCTCTTCACGCTCTGCCACCCGACGTGTGTTTGTACAGACCGCGTGTTCCGGTGATCACGCCGGCCGTGTCTCACACTTTACCCCTCGTTCCTCGTCGGGGTGGAGGCTTCTGATCTCTTTCTCTTTTTCCCGGTTAAAGACTTAGCAAGAATATGACTTATTTCCTGCAACGTAACTTCATTTCTCGAGGACCTGGGCCCACCTCCCCGTTGGGGCCGTGGAGGAGATTGGGTCCAGCCGGTTCTGTTTCTTCTTTTGTTACTGATAAGATAAGGTCTATTCGAATAAAAATTAAAAAGCAAAGCCAGAAAAATAAAAAGCCAGGGGCCCGGCTCAGCGGCGAGTGGGCTTGTCACGTATTAATTTTTCATTGCTGTGGAGAGTTGTACATACATAATCACTTGATTGCAGTGGGAGTTAGGGAGCTCCTATGGTGTCATTTGCATAAATCTTGTTAAGTCAATGGCAGTTAATGAAGTACAAATGAGCCCGGAGAAGGTGACATGCAAATCGTGGGTGGCAGATGGGAGGTCTGTTTGGGGGACGGCAGCTGTGTGCTCTCCTTCCTTTCTTTCCCTTCCGAGGTTTTTAATCTCTCTATTACGGTGCGGAGCCTCAGCCTCGGCCTCAGCCCGGCCCCGGCCCGGCCCCGCCCCTCCCCCGCAGACTCTCCTGGCCCTGCTGGCCCCTCACTCAGCAAGAACAGACCGAGTGCCCTAGCCTCGCACTCGGCCACATACACGCGAGTGTGTTTGAAGTTCCAAAATCTTGAGCAGTGTGTCTTGCCACGCTGACACAATCGGAAAAAAACATCTTTTTTTTTTTGGTAGAGACAAAGAAGAAAACTTACTGAATCTTTCAAGGCAGGATGTTGTCTCGTGTGAGATTTCAAAGAGTGAAACTGAGTTTTAAAAATGCTGTCTTCGCCTTAGTATGCTTCTCTGCCCCTCACCCCCACCCCCAGACAGGCCAGCGGTCTTTATCCAGCCAGTCTTCCCCTCCCCCACTTTAGTTGGGCCGTCAGAGGTGGGATGCCCAGGGTCACTTAGGAATCGTAGATTCAGGAAGGGTCCAAGGGCATCCTGCAAATCAGGCTGCAGCAAAGACGCATCCCCGTCAGCGCAGACCCCCTCCGAAGGGCCCCCACAGGCCCGTCTCGGTCGTGGCTAGTGCGCCCCTTGCCTGGTGGTTTGTTTTTTAAGGGTTTAGGTGCTGGCAGGACTCAGCTTTCAGAGACTTGTGGGCACGACACTGCATCCGCTGACTGCCTTCAGAACGTAGTTACTTCATCACCTGGTCGATGATTGAGAGAAACAAGTCTCCACTGACATTGAAGAAATTCAGGCAAAGAAGTGGGTGCAGGGAGACGTGAGCCGTGATGGCAGCTGCGACGGCCACTCGGGGGTCACCCACCCCGTTTGGTTCTTGCTCTGCCGAGTCACGCCAGGGCACACCTTCTGGGAACTTGGACCCACGAGATCCTGCTGCAGACCTTACCTTGTGATGCTCCCTGATACACCAAAGCACCAAGTGTCTTTGTGAGACTTTTTTCACATCTGAATTTTGACCTTGAACTCAGATGACATGGCCATCTCTAGAGCAGATGGTTAGCCAGTGAGAGTAGCTGTTTTTCAGCAGCCACCTGAAGCCACCAGAAAGCCCTTCCCCAGCCGTCAGGAGGAGCCAGCTGGCGTGGAGCCTTCCGGTAGCCCATTGCCATCGGGTCTGTGAACCATCCTGAAGCGGCCGCGTTTTTGATTCTCAGGTGTCAGTTAAGTGGGAGGGACCTCTGTGTTAACCCCCGTGGCCAGCTGCGCACAGCCGCCCACCCGCCTCGTCGGGGACGGGCATGAGGTCGTGGACAGTGTGGCGTTGGCAGAATAAAGGCCACCTAGTGACACTCACTTCAACATCTTCGTCATGGAGGAAACAAACCCGAAGACCAAACAAACTTTGCAGGGATCCGAGGAGAAAGGGGGGACAGCCGCGGGAAGAGTGGCCTCTGCGGTCGCTACGCCCTCCGCGCCACGTCTGCATACGCGTCCGCACGGTGGCACGCGTGACCACAGAGGAGTCAAGGTGAGCAGAAGGCGCCCTGGGAGCGCACTGTCCACCCACGTGGCAGATCAGCTCTGCC